GCTGTTGTCGACCACACTCACGAACAGCCACCAAGCAAACCCCCTTTCCAGCCTGGCACAGTGCCATTCACTGATCTAGGGGCCAGCTGCTTGCAGAGCGTACAACCATAGAGTGTACGCCCAGAGCGGCCACTGCCGGAAGACTCGGTTTGGAAGCTGCAGAAAAAGCCATGTGGTGGCGGCAATGGAGGTGCCTTGGCTCTGCGGGGAAAACTGGGCCAGGGCATCGTGAGGCTGGGAGGTGCATGAGTGAGAGTGGAACAGCCGCTCGCGTAACCCCCTTCTCCAGCTGTGCAGAGTGCCATTCACTGGCATTTTGAAGGTGCCAAGCTGCTGGAGCCGGGTGGCGGCAAACAAGTGCTCACATGGCTTGGTGATACCCCTAGGAATGGTGCTGTGCCGGGCTGGAAAGGGGGTTTGCCGGGTGGCTGCTCATGAGTGTGGTTGCTTCATGGCTGCTGTGTTGCGCTGCTGCGACAGCGCAACACAGTCATTCGCCCATGAGGCTGTGCCTGGCTCTTTGGGAGCCCGCTCACAAGAGTGCAGCCACCCGGCAACCCCCCTCTTCAGCTGGGTATAGAGTCACTCACCAACCTAGCGGTATCCCAAAGGTGCCAAGCAACACGATCATCTTTGCCTCCCCCCCGGTTCCCGTGGCTTGGCACCTTTGGGATACCGCTAGGTCGGTGAGAGGTGCTCTGCCTGACCGGAGGGGGCTTATTTTTTGGGGGGGGGGTTATTTTCATTCAGGGGGGCTTATTTCATCCAGGGGGCTTATTTTTAGGGGGGGTGTTATATTTTTGCCCACCCCAAAAATGTGGCAAGGCTTTAGTTTCAGGACATGTTATATTTTTGCAGAAACATGGTAGATTGACCTCTTCCAATCTACTGGCCACTGAATTGTTCTCCACATTTGCTGCTTATAGCTCAGTTAAAACCTTCACTGATTATTCTTCTGTTTCTTGCCATATTTCCATTGATATTCTATCGATTGTATGGGCTTCAATTTTGGCAATGACTAGAGGACCTAGTTGATCTATTCATCTTCTAGCACTAGGGTAAGTAGGGGATATTGTTCAAAGTATCTTGGATGTCGACATCTTTGCTATATAAAATTTCAGTATATGCTTTCTTTGATCTTTGAATCAATTGCTATCTGTCCTTTGGATTAAATTAATAACTGTCCATCTCCTTTAGCATAGCAATTGAAGGCTGAAATCTCCCTCTGAGTTCAGAAATCTTTTGGAATTGTTTCCTTTGTTTTTCCATGTCTATTTTCCTCTTTGATGTCTTTATGGATGTTGTATAATAGTGCCTCTTGTCTCTTGTAACAGCTGTCTGAAATTCTTAAATTCCTTCCTGAGATGCTGCTTGTAGCTTCACATTTTCTTTTCCTGCATGGCAATATCAGTTGCTAGATGTCCCAAAAGCTTTAATCTAGCCATGTTATAAACAACATTAGTATTAGGAATCCACAGCTCTTTTTGAGTACCATGTTGAGAGCTGTCTGGCCTAGGGCCAGACTATATCCCGCTCTATATCATCAGTCATTTTATATTTTCTATCCATTTGGTTTTCTTCGTCAGATTACTATTGCCTTCTCCTGTGTAGTATGAAGAGATATCTTTGTTATTGACAGTAAGTGATTATCTGCCAGCAGCATCTTCCTGTATTGCTTGTCCCCAATAGAGGTGCCTGCTTGCTTTAGCTACGTTCTGGGTATGCAAGTAGTCCTTGACTTATAACCATAATGGAACCTACCCATTATGGTTATAAATCCTGACAGTTATAAAAGGGGTCATCATGGGATCGGACCCAGTTTTACAAGCTTTTTTGTACCAGTCATTAGGCGAACATCAGCCTTGTAAAGAAAATGCAGTGGTTGTTAAGCAAACTCATTGTTTTTAGTCAAACACCATAAATGCGAATCAGTTGTTGAGTGCTCAAAATGTGGTCACATGTCCGCAGAAGGTATAATTGTTGGAACTTCAAAACCAGGTCTTAACTATCTTTTGGGGGAAGGAGTCTCTTGTAAGTTCAGATGGTCGCCAAGCGATCTTTCATAAGTGGAAGGCTATTTCTATGTTTAGCATATGTTCTCAACATTATTTGCTCATCCTTCTTAGAAATCATGATGAGGAAACATAGTAGGAGTTCCAGGAGAATAATGGAGACTGTGTTTAAATTTCTAGTCTGCTTGAAAATGTAGAAGAAGAGCAGATTTGGGGTGGTGGTGGTGGAGTTAAATGCATCATCAACTTAGAATTGTGCATTCCCACAAGCGCTCTTAAGTCCAACCTCTCCTGAATTTCATTGATCCTTATCAGGAACTAATTTAGGATTGAAATTTAGTTGACCAGATTCTTGTGTATAAGCTTGAATAAATCTTCTATGCTGCAAACTAACTGGTGGTCCTGATTAATTATTTGTACCTGATGGTACTTCATTATAATATAACTCGGCGTTCCCATACTTTTCCAGGTTGGTGGTCCGGAGCAGGGGGGGAGGGGAAAGAGGGGATAGTTTTGTGGGAGGGGCAGGTGCATGTGTGCGCATGTGCACACGCACAAGCACCCATTGCTTGTATGAGTGGGGTCACAAGTGCCCGCAATGCTTGTGTGAGTGGTGTTGTGAACATTACAGGCATGCACTCTTGCCGGCCACTCATGAGGCCCAGTTGTGAAGAGCCATGGTCAGGTAGGGCCGTGGCCCTCAGTTTGGGGACTTCTGATAATAACTAACAGAATTTGGCAATTGACTAAAAAAAATAACAGTGTAGAAAGAATAACTTTAAAATATGTAATAAACATTAGAGGTCACTCATAATTTTTGATTCAAATACTTATTTGATTATTTAAAATAGAATTGGTTACAAAAATAATTGATACATTTGAAATCCAAGTCCTACTGGAACATTCCTCTGAGCCTTGGGTGAAAATATTGATACAACAACTTACCTGTTGATGATGTAGAGAGTGAGAGCGGTTACTCTTGGCTCAGGGAAAGACTTCTGAACAGAGCTTAAATAGAATATTTATGCTAGTGAGGAATATAATTCAAATTCTTTGTACTATGTATTTTGCATTTACAGCAATTATATCTACTTAGAGAAAAACAGTGAAATTAATGGATTTTCAAAGGCAACAGGCATACTACCTGATTTGAAGGCTGTTATGTGCTGAATTGTGACCTAAATGCTAATTATTTTTTGTAAAATAGTTTTACAAAATTATTTACTGGCCAAAATAATGTTTGTCTTGACAAATGAAGTATATTCTATGCTGCTTGGATGATAATTATAAATGTTGATTACTTGTATCATTAATACTGCTCAGTTTTTTAACCCATGACTTGTTATGTGATTTTAAAAAATGGCTAATTTCAGAGACATGGACTTTCGTCATAGTATTCTGTTTTGTTTTTTGTTTCATGCAGAAAACTTTGCTTTGGTTTGATGTACTTTCATTAGGGATATTCAGTTCTGAAAAGATTAGGATTTTCCCCAGCCATTCTAAGTGCATTGGTCTGAAAACTCAAAAATGATATGGCTAACTTGTTGCGTAAAGACTAGTCCTTTAGAGCTGGACTACAAAAATCAGAACTTTTAGATGGCAGCAGAATTTTCTATATAAAAGATGATAATAGGTGAGTTGACTAGTAATAATAATGGCAACTGCAGCAACAATAACGGTAGTTTGTAATGAAAGAAAAATGGGGCCACAAAAGAAATAAGTGAGATTGGAATGATCTGGTTGCTGTTGGAGCTGGACAGAATGACTGTTGACTGTAAGGATGACAGGGAAAAAATTGTGGAGTTGGAAAAATCATAGGCAAAGGTGGTTGCCGAGGATAATAAATGGAGTTTGGTTTTTGAGAAGCTGGGATGACCTAAGTTGCCAAAAATATGAATTTGTGTTTGTTGCTGACCTGATTTGAGTAGTCACCAGGAGGATTGAGTTTCAGACTGGAGGAGGATTAAGTTGCATATTAGAGAAGATGGTGAAGCGTAGCCTGGATGCCATCTCTAGAGGCCCTAGACAGACATTTTAAAAGGTATAAATCACATTTTACCTATAGAAAATCAAATCTCATGATTTGCACTTTTGTTAGATTGCTGTGTTTTGCTTATGTTTGTGTATGTGTGTTTTTTTCCCTACAGATTGTTCTCTATGTATTCGAAAGTCGCTGTCCTATAAACCTCAGTGCCCTATATGCTGTATGGTAGGTGTGCCTTTATCTTGTTAAAAATGTTTTTTAATTCTACATCTTATTGCCATTTGTGCTGGGTTAGGCTTTTGAACATGCAGTGCGGAAGTATGTTTAGGTAACTTTACAGAAGGTATGCAAGAGGAAATAAGGCAAGGTAAGAGGCAATTTAGTCCTGGGAAAGGAAAGGGTGTAAAACAGGACCTCAAAATAGTTCTGTTTGAGCCTGTTTTGTAAAAGAAGGGACAAAGGAAAACTGCAAGCCTTTCAAGTTGCTGTTATTAGGCATTACCATAATACCAATAAAGGAGAATGTTTGTAGCTCAGGGTTGAAATTAAGGGACCTTGGTGCTCTCTCAGTCTAATTGTTTTCTTGCAGATGTTTCATTACCCAAACTAGATGCTAGTTTGGGTAATGAAACATCTGCAAGAAAACAACCAAACTCAGAGAGCCCTCTTACTATAGTAAAGTTCATTCCTGTACTTCTTGTAGTGTTTCCTCACCTGGCTTACTTTGAAGAGTTGATGTATAACCGTGCCCCAGATATTACCAGATGTGATCCCTTTTTTGTGAGTTGAGCCATAGGGTTCAGTGGGGATTGTTGCTGATTTATCTTCCTCCCTGCAATGTAGCAGCACCCCTGACTGCACTTCTGAACTTTGTCTGGTTGGCAGTGGAGTTCCCCAGGGTTAAGGTTGCCAGACTGTCATTACTTATGATCAAAATTATGGGCTCAATTATGGTTTGTAAGTCAGAGACTACCTGTATGAGTAAGCATAGGAATATTTTAAAACAATTATGCAATAAGACAATAAATGCAACCAGTAAGATAAACTGTGACATCAAACAATTACAAATCTCCATCTCTCAGTGCCATTACCACTAGCTAGTAATCTAAATCAATGGTTCCCAACCTTTCTGGCTCCACGGACCAGTGGCAGTGGGTGGATGGGATGGTTTTGCACACACAACCTAATCCCGCAAATGCACAAATGAAGCTTTGTGAGCTAGCCTGCTGCTTGCGTGGCCCAATTCCTTATGGGCTGCAAACCAATAGCAGTCTGGGGACCAGAGTTTGGGAACCCCTGAGCTAAACGCATGGAATATTTAAGTATATGAAGAATTGATGATTCAGATATCAGGAACCCAGGTTTCCAAGAGAAGTTTTGGAAATTAAAATGTATATTGTAGATTTGTAATAAAAGCAAATAACAATAATAAAACTGGGAAAATGCACCTGATACCTAGTATACTTAATATTTTTGCAGCTATAGTTTATATAAATTGAGGTTTTAGAGTTAAGTATAACCCATTGCTTGGAGACTAAAACTCAAAAGGATTGTTTAAGTGATATACTTAAAAGCAGTGTGGATCTGCTAACCTTCACCAGGATTATTACGGTAAACAAATTATGTTTTGAAACATGTTTACTGCTTTGCCTGGGTTTGGATGGGGGGAGAAAGAATTGGACTGCTAATTGCATACTGATGAAAATCAGACTGACCTGATTGAGTTTCATGTAAATGTTAAAATGACATGGAAAATGGAACATTGCCTAGGTATGAATAAAGGTCATAATAATATAGTCTTAATCAATACAACTTGCACAAACTCTCCAGAAGATAAACATGGTTGATGGTAATGAAAGCTATTGTGAAGTCCAAAAGAACCAACAGCGTGTGTAGTTCCCATTTCTTTCTTGGAGGAAAGGTTGAATGAGGCAGTTCTAGTGCCAGGCCATATGACAAGTCTGTTTGAAATAGGTCCAGAAACTAGTTTTCATTCAGGAGTATCTAATGCTGATACATTATTAATTGGATTATAAGGTATGAATATGAATAGCTGTATAATTATCAGGAAATATAGGGAAATATCAGTGTTTCAGTATTAATACTGAGAGTATTCTGCCATTATTCAGCCTACACATTTATTGTATTGGCATTGGCTTTACCAAAACCAATCACAGATAATATTTAAGCATGAGATTTTTTACAAGGGTGGATACAGAAATTTATAAAACTTAATATCCTTGATTTGATTTAGAATTTAAGTTTTAAAAATATAGTTCTCATCAAATTTGTGAGCTAACAGTGTTTTGGAAAACACAAACCTATACATCTCTTTAAATTTAATTTCAATGGGATGTTATCAGAGATAAATCGGTGAGACATAGATTGTTGAGCACCACTGCATAATAGTGTTCACTTCAAAATTAGAATTGTAGCGTAAGCTATTTGAAGTTCAGGCTGCATGTTGAATAAGCTAGAAGTACTATGATAATCCTCCAGTGTGGCCCTACGTTGATGTAGCTGTTGACATGCGGGCTCTGAGGAAGATGAAACATATGCTAGAGATTTAACTATATTGGGTAGGTCTCATCAGAGGAGCTAGAAGAAGAGTGCCTCTCCCAAAAACAATATGGTGAGACGTAATTTATAGAAACTTACTCTGAATCACTTGAGTCAACAAGAGACATGCTAGGTGTTCTGGATTTTGTGTTGAAAAGTGGTCTATAGGACTCAGGATTGTTGACTGAACAATCAAGGCCATCAGGTGCAGGACAATTGGAAGAAAAGTTGTTTTCAAATATTTGAAGATTGAAAACAAATAATGCCCTGCTATTACAAATTCTCTCCCAGCTCCTGCCCAACTAGCAGATCGAAAACATGCAAATGCAAGTAGATTAATACGTACCATTTTGTTGGGAAGGTAACAGTCTTCTGTGCCTCTTTGGTGTATAGCTATACTAGCCACATGACCAGGGAAAATGTATTGGTAGGTTTTAATGCAATATTTAAAACAGTAGTCAGTATGAAAGATGTTATGAAAGGTTTTAAGAAACCCTGGAAATAAATGTTTTCATTTCAAGATCTACAGTATATCTAAATGGATGAATTTGGCTGTAAACTCTTCTGGGAAGTTGAAAGTCTCTATGTTCTGCTTTCAATCTCTCTTGACTTCTCCTGCTTGTTTCAAAAATTACTTTGTGTACATATCTGGAGCAACTAACTTTGTTTCTGTCTTTATATTTTCAACATCACGTATTGTGTTGTTTTTCTGAAGAACAACAGAAGTTTGGCTCCATACAAGGCAACTAAAAGCTCAAGGAAGATGATTATCACTTACATAACTCTAGACACTTTTCTTCCTTTTTTTCAGTTTAAGCATTTTCAACAAATATATGTAGATGTCATGTTTATGTCTTTATATGTGGGAATTAATATACAGAGAATTTAAGAGATCAGTAACAGCCAAGTGCACAAGTACTACTTTGAACATTTCTGTTGTTTTACAGGTAGCCTCAGGACCTGACTTGAAAAATAACCGGATATTAGATGAGCTGGTTCAGAACTTTATTTCTGCAAGGTATTGAATAATTTTGCAAATTTTAGAGTGAGACTCAGATGTGATTCAAAATCATCAAATTTCAAAACCCAAAATCATGGACTCAGCTATACATATTTATCTACCGGTAAATGTTTATGCAGTATCAGATGTGTGAAATAATATATGCAGGAAATATATGCAGTGTTTTGTCCATATGTAGTTGTAAATCTGGACGCACAAAACAGTCGCACAAAGCATATCAAATTGACTGGTTGCAATTCAGTGCTGTTATAGATAAGAAACTATTTCTAAGATACAGGGAAGGAAAAAGTAGAATTGGAGAGCAGAATAAAATTGTAGTATGATATAGTAAAACATGAAATGTTTATTAATGTACCCTGTCCTAGGTTTAGTATTCTGTATTGAAATATTACAATTTGTCATATTAGAATAGATGAACGAATAATTTGGCCTAGGAGATTCCATAGAGAAAAGATGTGAGGTAACTTTGATTTGTAATAATAATGCCATTGAAGATTAAAAATTATGATATCGTTCTTTGGCTCTCAAAATTTCAAATACTCCCTTTTCCTGAGAAATTATGCAGGATTTATATATTTGGCAATATTGTGATAACTATTTGCTAGTGATATTTTGGTGAGCTATTTGTTTTATATTAAAACATTGCACCATCATTGTTAACTAAGTTAAGAAGAATTAATGGAATTGTATCTAACAATATCCTGCTTTATTTAATGAAGTCTGTCCAATCTTGCATTCAGTGAATGGAAACTGAGGAGTTGCTTTGTGCTGATTTTCCATTTTCTTCTTCACATTCCTCTCCATTCATCCAGGTCAGATCTGTATGGTTAGAATATAGTGACATTTGACATGATGTAGGAGGACATAGCTTTGCAAATAATTCCATCCATCCCTTCTTTTATTCATGGAAGCTATCCCCCCTACAGAGAGTTGCCTTATGAAGGTGAATGTAATTGCCTGACAGGAGATAAGAATAGTCTTTATAACAGACAAAATGTCACTTTTAAATGTCTTTTGACTTAGGTTCTACCTTTCTGAACATAAATTTTGCAAGATGACTGACAATCTTAGAAACATATAAACAGTTTTAAACTATATAAATGCAATTTAAGTTATTGCTATTGTAACTTAAAAATCTGGCTTTCCCAAGAAGGAAGAGTCCTTCATAGAGATCAATTTACTATCCATGGCACTTAACTTTTCCATATCCATACCATAACTAATAGATTTTGGATTATCCTGGAAATTAAGTAAGGTCAGTCTTGGCTAGAACTTACATAGGAACCCTCTGGGAATTCCAAAGCTATTGGCCCAATCTAAGGATCTAACAAACATCCCAAAAGAAGGCAGTGGTAAGCTACTTCTATAATTTTGTAAAGAAAATGGAACATTTCCTGTCAGCTAAACTGTGTTACTATTGATTGGTTTATATTTGGGGTCATCAAACTATTATTTCTTCATTAGATGACTCAGAATTGGCTGCCCCAGTGGTACCAGTAGACTTTTAACCTTTCTGTGTAGAATAAATTGTTCTTTAAAAATGAAAGCAAAGTTGTAGAATGAGACCCAGTTTGTTCCAGATTATGCAGGCAGTCTTCAGGGATCTATTTCAAGGGATGAAAGTCTCTATTGAATTGTTAATCTAACAATTTGCATTTCAAACGTGTGTCTGTTCAAAGTGTTACAATAAATCTTCGCATTTTATAGTTCTGACAATAAATACCTTATTTCGAAGGTTGATGATCTGAGAAGTGGCTTATTACATATACTAATAAACCCTTTTATTAAGGCAGTTAAAATGGCTTTCTGCCTGGATAACTCCCAGAGTGAGCTGATAGACAGAAAAGAGAAGCAGTATGCTCCCTCCCATATTTGGGTATACCAGGGTATACCTATATATGTGTGTGTGTGTGTGTGTGTGTGTGTGTATATATATGTGTGTGTGTGTGTGTGTGTGTGTGTGTGTTGTGTGTGTTGTGTTGTGTTGTGTTGTGTGTGTTTTTATTTGTGCTGATAAATAATGTTTAAAAAAATCATATATATATATATATATATATATATATATATATATATATATATATACACACACACACACACATACATACATACATACATACATACACACACACACACACACACACACACACATGCATAATACATAGTTGTTATATGCAAGACTACTATTTCTTAAGCTCTTTGCTTAAGAATACAGTTATTTATCTACCTATTGGGAACTGCAAAATATTCTGAATGTCCTGATATGGAATTTAAGAACTGGTTCTAAGATATTGTTTTATTATAGAGCAAAAGAAAATGAAAGTGAAAAAGGATAAAGAATCAAAACCAAAAACTTGAATTTGTTACAGTCATTCTCTGCATCAGCTCCACCTTATAGAATTAATCCCAGAAATTCTGTATGTGTGGCATATTACTACATTTGGAATTCAGCTGAAACTTTTTAAATGATGTAAAGTTCCTGCCTTGGGTTTTCATCTTGGATTTCTTTTGTGGTTAAATCTGGTCCTTTGAAACTGCCTTTGATTTAATTATTTGTTCTGTTTTGTTTTATTTTTCCTTTGTTTCATTTTGATGGCACTTGAAATCCTTTGGAATTGGACTGGGTTATAAGTATTGTAAAAAAAGTATATAAATATTTAAAAAGAAAAAAATCATAATCAAATACACAGAAAATAGCTCATATTTCACTGCAGATTAAACCTTGAATGGTTTAGAATTCTGATGCAGTCCCTGGAAAATGTTATCTACTGCTGATAAAAATGCATGCTTTTATTTATTTATTTAAATTCATTCATTCAATTTCTATAGGGTGGTGCAGTGTCTCAGTGATTAAGACACTGGGTTTGTCGGCTGAAAAGCCAGCAGCCAAGGTTTGAGCCCTGAGTAAGCTCCTGTCCTCAACCCAGCTGCCAGTCTAGCAGTTCAACAGCATGCAAATGCGAGTACATAAATAGGTATCACTTTGGTGGGAAGGTATCAGCACTCAGTGACTTCATGCTGGCGACATGAAATGTCTTGATGGCCTTGAAACGGAGATGAGCACTGCCCCCTATAGGAGGCAATGACTAGCAGAGTAAAATCCGCAGGACCTTAAAAAAAAAGGATAAAAAAATGCTGAGCCAATGTATTTTTTGAATTGTTAAGCAACCAGGAGTCAGTGAATGAGATGGGTGGCTATAGAAATTAAATTAAAGGGAAAAGGATTTTACTCTGTTAGTCATTGCCTCCTATAGGGGGCAGTGTTCATCTCCGTTTCAAGGCCATTAAGAAAAGGATTTCTATAGCCACCCATCTCATTCAATGACTCCTGGTTGCTTACAATTCAAAAAATACATTGGCTCAGCATTTTTTTATCCTTTTTTTTAAGGTCCTGTACCTGTGCCTCCAAGGTCATGTATAAATTAAAATCATCTTAAGAACTCGGTCTCTTTTCTGTGCTACCAAATCTGCCACCGACAATGTGCTCTATAGCCTCTTGACCAGAAGAGGGTGTTATGGCTCTGTAATTCATTTGTCAATCAGATGAATTGGGAGGCATCCTCAGATTTAATCTTTATCTTGCTTTTTATGTCTGCCTTTCATGTTTATCAGTTTTCTACTTTACTTTGAATTGCTTTTGAATCAGTTCAAAGTTAGTTAATAGTTAATGATTATGATGGATATGTTCCCAAATCATCTTAATGCTCATATAATCATGAGATATTTGAAAATGAAGATATGTGAATTGATAGGAGGTAAAACACAAGTTCATGGAAAAGATAATAAATATATGGCTGGAAAGATTTGTTAGGCACTGAGGAATATGTGGGGACAGTCTGAACAGATGAAAAATACAGACCACTTGAATCAGACTGGAGACCGAACCCAAAACAGCTTTTACTTTGGACAGAAATATGTTAAAATTAGTGGGGTGAAAATGTTTCCCATTGCTCAAGATGGGATGGGACGCACTAAAAATAAACCATGAATAAATAGTAATCGATGATACTCCTTCAAGGAAGTCAAAGGTTTGTAAGAGAAAATGTAGATTCTAAAAAATATATATCTGGAAAGAGCACTATATTTATATTTATGTTTTAATTTTGGAAGCATCTTAGACCAAAATGGGATAGTAGTTCTTGAAGAAGTTTCTATTTGTTTATCTGAATATCTACCACGTGATGGAAACATAGAGAAATGCAAAAACTGGTAGTATATGGTCATTTTATCTGAGCAAATGATGGAGAGGGAAGGGAACTTTGGGGTATTAATAATTCATGCATCAAAAAGGACTTTAAATAACCAGCAATCAAATTCCTTCTGGAGAATTACTGAAAGATGATTAGCAATATACCAACTTCCAAAATAAAAATTAGAGCCATTCATTAAAGTGGCTTAAACTATTCACATAGTAGAAAAATCCCCTCCACATTAATCGTTAAACTTTTAGATACAAAAAATGTGCATCTTAAAGAATTGGTTATGGACTTATGCAGAACATAAGATACACGTGTTGCTGGACCAACTGAAAATTGTGACATAGTGTTAGTAATTTTTATTTACATATAAATGGGAAATTGCCAAGGAAGGCAAAGGTAATTGTATCTTAATTCATAGAGAAGTGGTAAAATGAAAGTTTAAGTAAGAAAACAAATGTATGTTTTCCAGAATAAGTGATTAAAGGTCACATAGTCCGACAAAGTTAAAAGTTCATCTAGCTTTAATATTGCAAATCAGGAAAATAAACTTGAATAAACCAAATGTCACAGCACGAGTTTAATGCAACTTCTAAGAAATTGTTAGAACAAGGAAATAGAGAGCCATTTTTAGCTTGAGAGCTTAGATATTGGCTATATGCCAGCAGTCGACATGGCCAGAACACTATGGCAATTACCTGGTATTTTGCACTAGTACATTCCTATTCTTTCCTGTGAAGCCCAGCACAACAGTCATAGTAACACAACATTTCCCTAATTTTCCTCTGGTGAACCCATCATTTG